GGAATGCATTTTTTTGAAGTGATGTGATGGAGAATATATGGTTGAAAAAGAAGGAAAAGTTATTGATGTGATGGAAAATAGTATTTTATTGAAAAATGTGTGGTTGAAAATGAGTAAAAGAATGATAATGAAAAAAATAATGTGTACCAAACAAGCCTTAATACTTCAGTCATAAAAAAATAAAATGTGTAGAAAGGAATGATCAAAGAGAGATGAAGTGTTTCCAACATACTTAAAGATGATACAGCATTGTCATTGATAATTAGTTCAGAGACATTGAGAAAATAAAGAACTCAAAATTTGCAGCCATTAGCAAATAAGAACTGAATTGAATAAACCAATTAGCTAAGCTAAAGCATATAGTTTTCATGGTTTTCATCCTAATCATGAGCATGCAAACAAACGCATGGCTTTGACACAGATACTTCAAGAATCTGGTAAGTTACCTGGAGAATTTCTGACTCTGTACAACAAAATTACCATTCTGTTTTACAAAATTTCAGGTTTCAAGCCACCAAATTGGATGCCCCGACTTCGTATCGAACTTTAAGCTTCTTGCAACGTTGAAAAAATGTGCAACAGCTTCCTCGGGTGTACCAACGAGAACTCTCTGGCCAAGATTGAGGATGTGGCCCTTTGTCCCTGCACATTGTACAACCCTGCAACATAAATATCATCAACTCAACTATCAGTATTTGGAAATTTGGTACTAAGGGAAACTATTTGCTTCGCAGTTTGTTCAATCGTCCCCTTTGTGTAATATAAATGCAATTGCTATTTTGATGACTCATGAATATCAGTCGATTCAATAATTAGTTGTTAACCTCACTCTGGCCACGATGACAGTTTTATATTCAAATTACAAGTCTTTATATTTTAAGCACTCAAATAAGTAAATGGCAAGCCAAAAACTCAAGTAAACAAATTCCTCCCTCCCCCCTTTCTCACTAAATAAGCATGCCTGGTCGGGACCCTGCCACCGAATAAGAATTGAAAATGAAATAAATATATCAAATTAGACCTTGTTTCTTCAATTTCTTTTGGTTCATCGGCAGGGTGGGGGTGATAACCATAGGCCTTAATATAATTTTAACAGCGGAAACCACATATTTTTGACTGACTAACCTTTTAATTTCATCCTCCAAGGCGGGAAGAGGAGAAAATAGGTAAGCAGGGTCGACATTTCCTTGTATACTAATATCACTTCCAAGGCGCTTCCTTCCATCCGCCATATCCACTGTCCTGTCAAGACCAATCACGTCAACTCCAGTTCCCTTCATCCGTTCAAGAAGTCCACCATTTCCATTAATGTAGAGCACAATTGGTGTTTGAGGGCACTTCTTTTTAACCACACTCACCATCTGCACTCACAGACTAGGAGGTGTTCAAAAAGGGAAAGCTGGAACTTTGAGATTGCGTGCAACAACAGATAAAGCAACAGCTTCCATACCAAGTATGTTCCAGCTATATATAGATGTCCGAAAAGGACACCAGATAATTTTTAAATAAAACATAAAATACAATAATGAAGAGTGACAGCAAAGAAGTTCTCATTTTGAGGTATCCCTTGTTTTAAGATTCTAAGACCTCCTATATCAAGCAACTTATCTGTTAACTCTTATCTCTGGCTTGTTGATCCAAAAAAAACTCAGAAGACCTAAGAATATAACCCATGTTTCCTGAGTGAACAAGACAGCAATTCTCCATAAGACTAAACTGCAAGAAGAATGGAGCGCGCACATCTTAATGTGTGCAAGTGATTATAATCAAACCTGAATGTCAGTATCAGCCAGGCTTCTCAAAAGAATGCAGCGGAACTTGTCAAACCATGCCCTAGGAGCCTGCTTAAGACCTTACAAAGAGCGTTTAAGTTTACAAATAGAATGTGCTGATGGAAGAGGCATACCAGATGGAAGTTTCATATAAATATCTTCCTTAAGATCTCCATGTAGGAACGCGTTCTTCATGCGTTCTTCACATCCATTTGATATAAAGACCATGATTGGGAAGCGGCAAGAGACAACAGAAGACGTACAGTAGTCATTTTAGCAACCGGAGCAAATGTCTCATCATAGTCTATCCCATATTCCTGACGGTTACCTAAAGCAACCAGTCGAGCCTTATAGCGTTCAAGCGAACTATCAGAACGAAGCTTGACAGAGTATACCCATTTGCTCCCAATGGGCTTCACAGTCGGTGGACAAGGAACAACAACCCAAGTTTGGTTGGCCTCAAGAGCCTCAAGTTCTGCTATCATCGCCTGTCGCCAACACTCTTGCTCTATGGCCAGTCTGTAGGAAGAAGGAATGGAAACCGAAGCAAGTGTAGCAGACATAGAACTATGGGAGGAAAAACAACACATATCTAGTGGTCAAGGCACACGAGAAGTACGACGAAGAGGAAGTGGCAGGTCATCCGGTGAAAGATCTGTTGTCGGTGGAGGATTGGGGGGGCATGGGAGAGTAGTCGGTTGAGAAAGAAGCTCGGAACCGGTGGTTGGCGCAACCTCCCTGTGAGTGTAAACATACCCCGGCTTGTACCGCGAGAATTGTGTGGGAAAATTTGGTAAAATAGAAAACATGGGAGAAACCACAACCTCGGAAGTGAAGAATAATTCTTTTTCAAAGAAAATTACATTACGGGAAATACGGAGTCGTTGTGTTGTAGGATCATAACAAATATACCCCTTCTGTGTTCCACCATATCCTAAAAATGCACACTTGACAAATTGAAGAGTGAGTTTAGTCCGTTCATGAGATTGTAAATGAACAAAACACATANGAGGAGGAAAATTGATTTTCAATAAAAGCAAGAGAAGTTTGAAAGACAGAAAACACCTCACTCTTGGCATGAAGAAAATAAACCCATGTGAATAGACTATAATCATCTATAAACGTAACAAAGTATTTATAATGAGCACGAGACACCACAGGTGCAATACCCCATACATCACTATGAACAATATCGAAAATATGCAAAGCAAGAGAACCCTGAGATGGAAATGACAAAACTTTATTTTTAGCAAGTTTACATGAAGCACAATCAAGTGAGACGATGAAACCGAAGCAAAATTCTTATTACCAAGTAAACTAGAATTGAACAATTATTGTAACATATTAGAATTGGGATGTCTCAATTTCTTATGCCAATCAAAGATATCTAAAGTAGCAGAATTACAAAAAATGGGAAAAGATGGAATAGGCTTCGGTGAAATAGGAAAGAGATGTCCCTTCTTAGGCCCCCTCATGATTGTCTTCCCGGACACCTGATCCTGCACGTGACAACCAGAAGCAGAAAAAGATACAGTGCAATCATTATCAACAAGTTGGCCAACAGATAGAAGATTAATGGATAAATTTAGAGACACTAAAACATTAGGCAAATTTGGTGATATATCGCCTACAACTGAGATAGGAAGTGTCTTACTATCAGCAGTGTGTATCTTGAGAGGTTCATTATATGGTCTAAGGTTACTAAGCAGTTTAGGATCACTAGTCATATGGTTAGAAGCACCTGAGTCGAATAACCAAGAAGAACGAGTAGGTTGAGAATTACCTGAGATACCTAAGGCAGACAATGTAGAGACAACCATTTGTTGAATCATCTCGGAGTGATGGGAGTGTGAGAGGAATTAGGAGAGGCTGGAGCTCGAGTGGGACCAGATGACGGAGCATAACCAGAGGGTAAAGTGGCATTAGCAACATAACTTGTTCCAATCTTGCGTGGAGGACGAGTAGGACACTCTTTAATGACATGGCCTGGGTTCTTGCAATAATTGCAAACTTTTCGTGGACACTGAAGAGCCATATGACCAAAACCCTTACAGCTGTAACATTGTACACTAGACATATCCCGAGGTTTGTATTTGCCTTAAGCAACATATGCAACAGGAATCGGTGCTGCGGAATTTTGATGTTGTTCCAAAGAGTTACGAGTGATAAAACGTTGTTCCTCCCTCAGTAATTCACCCAAACAACCATTCAGAGTAGGAATAGACTCGCGATTCATAAGACTGGACCTGATAGATTCAAACTCAGTTCTCAATTTCATAAGAAAATGATCCCTTTTGGTGACCTCGTGTACAGCCTGTATAGCCTCCAAACTTTCTGGTAAAATCGAAGCATAAATGATATCTATATATTCAACCCAAAGAGTACAAAAACCAGAGTAATATTCTTCAATGGAGCGAGATTCTTGAGAAAAATTTGCCAAGTCAAACTCCAACTGGAGGCGTCGAGCATTGTTATTTTGAGTATAGACTTTCTTCAAGTAATCCCACATAGAACGAGCTGACTTATAGGGCCTGAGATTAAGAACAATATTAGCCTCAACAGTACCGATAATCCAGGCCATAATTCGGGAATCCTTGATTTTCCAGGCAAGATACTTCTCCTTGTCCTTCTCTTGATCAGGAGGCGGAATGCTTCCATCAATATGTCCCCACAAATCTTATTTCCCTTCAATCAACAACTAAAAATGAAATGCCCATGACCAGTAGTTTTTCTCATTAAAACGAATGCAAACTGAGTCAGTCTTCTCAATTGACATGGTGAAAATAGTAAATAGTCCGCCAAAAATGAATTAGTCACAATCCACTAAATAACTCTACCAAAACTCAAAAGAAAATAGCCCAACAAGATTATATAGGCCCAACAAAAATTTAATAAAGAATACTGCCCAAGCCCTAAAATTAACACTACCCAACAAACCCAAGCCCAATAATCAATGAACGGGCTGCACAAATAACATGACCCAAGCCCAATCAATGCAAAGAACTCCTCTAGCCAGGCAACGACGCAGACCACAAAAGGAAGAAGAATCTCCGATCACACTTTATAATGGTGCACAACACAGATGACGACGATGGAGAGAGAAGAATCTTCGAGCAGAACTTACAAATGTGCACGACGCAGACGGAAAAGAAGAATTTCTAAACAAAACTCACTGATGCGCCAACCCAACCCTGGCCGCGTAGGAAATTCAGAACTCCACCTGCACACGATACTAGAAACTACAGCGAGATCACAAGAGGCAACCACAGGTTCGCTGACTATGTTGAAACCACTGGGAAAAAAAAAAAGGTTAGGGCTCTGATGCCATGTCACGGTTTTGCTTGAATGATTTCTCAGTATGTATTACATTCAATTTATAGAATAGTACAAAGTTATACAGGGAAAGATTTGATAATATACACTCGATAATATCCCTGATTCTATGCGACCTATAAATGGAAACTAAATTGAATAGTGAATATTCCGTTGATAAATTTGTATGCAATGAGCTCCAGCATTCACTTGGAAAATGATATATTCAGCTATCGCCTTTGCCAAATGAGACAGAAGAGCCCTTAATACATGTGGTACTGTATGGCACATGCTCTTTATTGTTGTGTATGTGCGTGTTGTTCCCCTCTCTACTATGCATGTAGCAATCGTCCAGGGAGCTCCCACGAAACCCAAAACTGCTGCTCGTTCCTCGACCCGATAGCTTGTTCAAATATAACAGTGATTCTACACCGTGCCAAAGAAAACTTGTGTGAAGCTACTAGAATGAACCATCTTTTTAAAGCAGGTGGTAAGAACTACGGAAGTACCTCTTTCCGCAATATCCTAAGAGATTCTCCAACAAATTGTAGTTTATCAAAGTCAAATTGGATGCAAAGTTTTCAAGTCAACTCAGAACGAATGGGAGACCGAATTACCGGACCACACACCTCTTCTATGTCAAACGGCACACCAAATGCAGGTAGTGGAGTAAGTATATCAGAGAAAATAATAACTCCATCAGGACGGAGAGCTTCCCAAGGCTGCAAAGAAATTTCTACAATGAGATAGGTTGCCTCAGACCTCTCCCGGAAGGACGGGCTCTCTGCAAGCTTTCTATAAACAGCCATATACCTTCCTGCTCGACGCATCAATCACCTCTTGCAGCCTTGACCAAAAGTGGATCTGATAAAATGTACATAGGTAATTGAAATGAGAAACTTCAATTCTGAAAATCAAACGTGATCTCCAAAAATGTAAATCATGTAGTTAGTAACAACTTAAATGCTAGCTGAAATAAGGTTCAAATGATGACAGCTCCAAGTCAACCAGCTTTTGGATGAGGCTAACAATATCAATTACATTAATTTGAACCTATCCCCAACTTTCTTTTCTTGTTTTGAGTTGTTCAAAATTGCACTTGATTCCATCTAAGCTACCACTTTTTTGCAAGTGCAGGAGAGTCTCATTAATTGATTTTCTGAAACTCATTTTACACCAATCAATTAAACCATGCAAACAAGAATATCATCCTTAGATGGGCCTCTATTGACTGCCGATACACTGGATATGTAGTATATTAATCGAGTTTGAAGAGAAATTAAATTCATCAAGTTTTTTTTTTTTTCCTTTCCCTCTTTAGTTCAGCCTCTCAAGTTACAAGCCTTTGGTTACATAATTCTAAATAATTGAGGTTTCGTCCTGTTTTGTTCAACAAAAAAAAAAAAAAAAAATCAACTAGAGAATTCTCTATCACGATAGCTTAAAATGATGTATCAGATGCAGACACAGCTGTTATCAAAGACCGTGATAAGAAGCAAAATTAACTCACAGGAAAAAGAAATGTGAAGAGAAATAAGTAAAGAAACAAGCTTAAAGAATGGACAAAGTGATTTAATGATAAAAAGTTCCTCTTTCCTCCTTGAAGGATCTTTTTCAAGAGTTTAAACTAAAAGGCCTTGAAAAGCCTTTTTTGTCAAAGAGGTTTCTTCGTTGGCCATTACTTAATGAAGCGCAAAATGTGAATTATATACATTCATTAAGAATGCCTAATCACCCAACTCAACCCTCGACATAACCAGGGTCAAGTTGATGTTTATTGTGCTTCTCTCCCTCTTGCCATTCTTCTGTCTACATATATACATAGACCCTGTTTGGGCCAAATTATTGTAAAATGAGAATGAAAAATATAGTCGTTATTGGGGCCCACATAAGAGATAGAAAATTTGAATTTAAATGTTGATGTGATGGATAACGGTCATATTTTTCATTTTAATGAGATAATAATGTAGATCAAACGGGGGCTAAATAATGAAACTTTAAACCATGAATGAAAATGAAAAATATAGCCATTATTGAGGCCCACATAAGAGATAGAAAATTTGAATTTAAATGTTGATGTGATGGATAACGGTCATATTTTTCATTTTAATGAGATAATAATGTAGATCAAACGGGGGCATAATGTAACGACTCGACCTCTATGTCCAAAGTGTTAACTTAAGCCCCCTATTTGGCCACCATTATTCCATATTATAACGACGGGAATAGTAAATTTTTGATAAATGTGTGGTTAAAAAAGAAGGAAAAGTTTTTGAGTTTACGTGTAATATTATTTTATTGGAGAATGTGTAATTGATAGAAGAAAAAGAAAAGTAAATTATAATTTAATGAAAAATAATGGGGGCAAACTGGGGGGAAAGTACTGTTCGCTCTGAGAGGCTTGAGCATCTTGCTTCTCACGGATTTCAACTTGTCAACTCATCTAATTGGTACCAAGATTCAATTTAAGTCATTTTTAAGGGAAAGATCAAGCATTCGGATCCTGGGAGCGAATGGTTTGCACAGAGAGGCCGGGTCGTTACACATAAAAACTCATAAATCAGACTTGAGCAAAAGGTAAAAGACGGAAGTACAGGAAACAGAACACAAGAGTGACCATGTGCTTCAATTCCATTTTCCCTTGCAAAAAATGAAAACTTTCGCAGAACAAATAAAGACAACTTAGAAAGAAAGCAATACTGTACAGAATTGATGACTCTCTTCCTCTAAAGAAGAAACGTAATTTGCATCTTGATTCTCAAAATGTATACTAAACGATAAAACACACATATTCTAAATGTGCATCAATTGTCCAACTGTGTACTTTATAATTGTTCGTACATTCTGTAGTTTCGAACAGCATCCATCTCAGCAACGTGAAACGATTCCACAAACGTTTATTTACTAAAAGCAATAAAGATACCTGAAGGAGAAGCACATGCGCAAAGAAATTAAACTTCTGGGATTTGGGAGACAACAGAAGCCCATCAGAAGTAGTGTTGGGAAGAAAATCCAGGCTTAAAAACAGGCAAGAAGATTTCCAACCCACACCCAAATTACAATAACTGCAGCACGCACTGTTGAACACCAAAAATGCACGTCTCATTTAACAAACAATTCATATACACACACAGAAAGAGCTAACCTGGTTAACGTGGAGAAGCCCATTTTGGGTAATGGACGAGATTTTGTGATTCCTTTTCTATATGTTTCTTCATCCTCATTCTTCTTATCTCTCTGTTTCTGGGTGATTCAATTCTCAACTCTGTTCATCGGTAATAATTTAGGGTGCGTTTGATTGCCAAAATTTTCCATGGAAAATGTCAGTTTCCTTTCAAAATTCCTACTTTTGTACTGTTTGATTGACATTTATTTCCATGGAAAATGTTTTCCCTTTTTTGGTCACGTGACCATATTTTCCTTGAAAACAAGGAAAATATTTTCTTTTGGGGAGGTAGGATTTTATTTTCTGTGGAATTCAATCTTTTCAAAGATTCTAGTTTATCAACTATCCTACCCACCCACGTTACCCTTTCTCTCTCTCATCTCAACCACGTACAAAACTCTTCTCTCTCCTCTAATCATACAATAGAACCAGGAAGAAAGATACTGAAAATCTATACCATAAAAAACTCATACAAAGGCTTAATTCTGTTCTTTGCCCTTTCTAATCGGAGGCTCTGTATACTCTCCACTAGTTCGAATTTGGTAGGCGTTTGTTGAAATTGTATAATTATAATATAAAATGTGACCGAATGATTAAATTTATTATGTATTTATATAATCATAATATGTAATTATATGTTAATTTTATTGGATTTTTATTTATCGTGGTAGTGTGTTAAATGGCTACAACAAGGAATCAACGTCGTCGCCAACAAGAACAATTAGGTTTATTTTGGACGATAGTCATGCAAGCAATTGTGATATATAATTATATTAGGCGTCATGAACGACAGCTCCGTAGGGCTCCTCATACAAATTGGGATTCTGAACGAGAAATGACTCTTACACGAATGTTTGGTAAGAGTGATACAACGTGTCGTGATCTACTTAGGATGAAAATAGGTCCGTTTCAAAGACTGTGTGCTCGTTTGCGAACTTATGGATTGGTTGATAGTAAATATGTTCGAATTGAGGAACAAGTAGCTATTTTTCTTAATACCGTTGGGCATGACCAACGTAATCGAGCTGGACGTTTCACTTTCTTTCGATCTGGGCAAACTGTGAGTTTTTACTTCCATAGGGTATTACACTCTTGTCTTGGACTATATAGAGATGTTGTGATTAATGCCACTATTCATAACTCCCCATATGAGAAGGAAAATGTGAAGCCATGGTACTCCTTTTTTCAGGTTAGGGGATTGTAGTTATGTCATTATATATCTTAGAAGTTCAATATTATAATATTTTGACAAGTGCCTATTTTTAAAGGATGCTGTAGGCAGGGCCGGTTTTGGGCCGAGGCAAGTGAGGCCATCGCCTCAGGCCCAAAAGTAGAGGGGGCCTCATATTTCGGCCCTACATTTTTTTTTTTTTTTTTGAAGTTAGGCATGTTCCCTTCCTTCTCTCAAAGTTCAGACTCTGCTGC